AAGAGATAAAGGAAAATGCTGTGGATTTTCATCCTGGCTTCCGTATTTTGGCTTGGTAACAGGCAGAATACAGTAATAAATGTACTTGAAATACTGGCTCTGACCAGCTCATGCATGGGCAAAAACCTTACGTTGTGCAGTAGGTGGTAGTAATTGGTGAGATCACTGTGGAAATCTAAAATAATTCCTTATAAATCTAAAATAATGACCTACCATTCATTGCCTATTAAGATATATTTATTTTCTGCTGATTCTCTGAAAGCAGTCACCTGGTAAGTAACTATGAATCAGGAATACAGAACCACTCATTTCCCATGTAATTATCTTAAATCATGAGACCACAGGTTCAACGTATTTGGCATCAACATTTCCCACTGCTCTCTGTATTCTTCATGGAAAATAGAAAAATGTGACCATTACTGCTGTGTGCAAGTACTTGCTGTGCTATTTGGAAGATCTGGCAATAAGTCCCTACAGTTCTTCCAAGATATGTAGCAGCACTGTGAAGAACAAAGGTAGCTAATAATATCACACAGGTAAGGCACAACACAGCCCCAAAGTGAGGCTTATTTCACTACAAAAGCTGTAATATACCTTGTGCTTTTATGTTCCCATACTTGCTCACAGTGAGTGTGCAGTAAATATACTTGGAAATCAAAAAAAAGTTATTTCCTCTTCAAAGCACTAAGATAGAAAAGAGACATGAAACAATCTCCCTGGTGATTCATTTAGGTATATAAAATTTAGACAATCTCTAAGGCAAGACATTAATTTCTCTGGGCAATGAATACAAGGATTTGCATGCAAGAGGTGAAAATTAGCTATCATCTCACCTAAGAAAATATGTATGCTATGAAAAAATAAACCATGACATTTATGAACTGGAACACAGTATCAGACGAATCTTATTTATAATATCATTCATTGTTTGACACTATACTGTTACTTTGGCAATTACATAAAATCAAGTTTCTGCTAGATATTGTGTCTCTGATTATTTAATATCCTGTTCTATGATTTTCTTTCATGCTAATGCAATTTCGAAGTCTGATTCTATGCTTCACTTGAGTCTTTTCCCCAGTTTATGTACACTAGTATACAGATTGAAGCCAGCCTTTCCATCCAATTAGTACTGTATTTTCCTTGTAAAATTGCCTATAACCTTGTAACATTTTTCTGTAACAAATTCTGTTACAGATCAATATGTAACCCTGTAACAAATTTCAACTGAATCAAGCAAAATGGCTGGAAAAGTTATTCAGCTTCAATGTATTGATTTTAATTAGAAATACTTACAGTAACTTAGTAAATTTTCTATGAAAGGGAGAATAAAAGTTTATATAATTCAGAAAAAAAATTATTCAGGTTTATAGGATTTACTATGTTGTAGTTTATTTTTTAAAACAAAACCAGCATTGAAATATTGCAATAAAATATACTTTCCTTTTCTTTGAAACATTCTGTTTTAATTTCTTGAGACAACCACAGAGAGGGACTTGAGGCATAAGACTAGAAAGGTACCAAGTGTTTTCACAACAGATTTCCATTTTCTTTGTGGTGGTGTCTTATGTTTTTGCTTACCTTCAGTTTTCACACTGGGAGAAAATCATCCAAACAATCCTGCCAGGGCGCAGAAGACTTTTGGAGTATGTTCTCTCAGATATTTAAAACCGACTACCCACTTTTGTTCACTTGGTTTCTCCAGCTCTCCTGTTGCACACTTTGAGTTAGAGAGGGCTTGTTGTGCCATGAGACAACACGTTGGTCCCAAGCATGGGTTTGACAGCCACTGAGATTTCACAAGATTGAACCTAGTTAAAAATAGACATAGTAGAGGGTGGGAAAGCAAATCAGTTTTATCTGTTTCAGAAGGAGAATATATGTTTTGATCCAAGTGGAAGGGGCATTAGCCTGTCTGCCACAGCATTCCTCAGAGAACTGATCTTCTTTCTGCAGGACATTTCTGATCCGCGGCAGCATCTGAAACATTGCCCTCAGCTTATTCCCATGTTTTATTCAAACGAGTGTGGCTTGATGAACTTGACGATACATTTATTCAAAAGTGATTGCAACTCTGCAAAACAACAGGTCTTCAGCCAAAGAACAGTGTCACAGACCCTTTCACTCCAGTGGCTCAGAATTTGCCTCCAAATACCTTTTCCAAAGGACATTATTGCCCAGTTTTTTCTTAAGCATTACAAAAAATGCCAAGGTGTCTCCTTGTTGCCACAAAACTTCACTTTTTCACATGACATCTGAAGGAGTCAGATTCTATATGCAGGGTTTGTAAGTACTTATAGCAGGATTTTTTACTTTGATTAATTATTTCATTTGCCACGTGCAAGAACAGAAAGGGTGAGGAAAAGAAGTGGCAAGTCCTCAACAGTGCAATGAAGCAGAAGATGAGAAATGTCATTTGAATGAATGAAAACTGAAAGCAAAATATACATGACACAGAACATTGATCAAGGAAAAACAAAGGAAGCCAAAAAATATCATTGTGAGGCATAACAAATCACATATTAGATAAGAATACAAAAAAGATACTAGGAAAATAGGATACAATTCACAAGGAACAACAGTGCATAAGTATTATGAAATTATGTAAAGCAAATTTTTTATATGTGAAAATAGTTTTGTCAATCCAAATTAAGGTAAAAAAAATAAAAATTCCAATAGTTTTTAATAACATGTATTGCTTATAAAGTTTTTAGAAGTCTACAAAGAGTTTAAATTTTTAACTCTCCGTCATAGGCAAGCCATAAAATAGGTGGTTTTCAATACAGAAGCTTGTAAACTTCTTCTCCCCAACTAGAAAATTTATCCAACTAATCCATTCCCAGCAATTTTAATTGAAAAGAATTTCCATTCCAACATCTATTACAGAGCATAATTATACAACTACTTAGATTAATTTCCCCTTGTTTAGTTTTAAAATACTAATTAGCATCCTTTTGAATTTCCTATAAAATTTTAATCCCCCATTCATTTTTGCAATCCTGTAATCAATATAGAATATTATCTTTCTCCTTAACTATTGCTTAAATTGTGCATATGTAGTCCTTTCAATTTTTCCTCAGAAGACACTCCATCTCTCTATTTCCATCATTTTTCAAGTAAGACCCTCCACATTTTTCTACTTCTGAACACCAGAATATTTTAGTATGAACACTGAGCTGTTCAAATCCAGTGTACAAAAAAACAGTAAAAGGAAAGAGGGGGACTACCCAGATCAAAGATACTGCATGTGCAACGTTCCCAGCACTGATATTCTCAATAACTGTAGGCAGTTGGTCACAGGCATCCCTAAGCAAAGCCTCACTTAAAAGAAATGAATTTTCATACAGCCAAATATAAAGCTTTGAATTTTGATCCAAAGAATTCCAGGCCAGGATTCTAGAATAAGAGCTTGTCTCCTGTAAATCAGTGCATTTGAAAAGCAAGTATTTTTCATATGCTTCCTTTCTGTGTTGTCCCTAATTCTTCAGCTGTTATACTTTGGGTTTGCTCATGAGGGACTTGAGCCCTGTAGGTTTAGTTTGTGTTCCTCTTTCACCACTGGTAAGTCTTAGGCTTTGTTTTCAGTTATGCTGTCTTGCAGAGTTTCAATTGCAGGTTTGTTAGGCTCTAATGTC